CCCAGCCGTGGGGCAGCCAAGAGGAAGAAGAAGCAGAGGAGGAACCGCACCACCTTCAACAGCAGCCAGCTGCAGGCTCTGGAGAGGGTCTTCGAGAGAACGCACTACCCCGATGCCTTCGTGCGGGAGGAGCTGGCAAGAAAGGTCAACCTCAGCGAGGCGAGAGTCCAGGTGAGCAAAGGTTTGTGTGGGAGAAAACAACACCCTCTGCTTTGTCCCTGGGCAAGAGCAGGGACCGTCCCCTCTCTTGTTTCATCCTGCACATGACCATGATCGGTAGGACGGATGCTTGGGACATCCCTGCTCTCACCGGGTCCCTGCTGACCACCTTCCCTCCCCGTGCAGGTCTGGTTTCAGAACCGGAGGGCCAAGTTCCGCCGTAACGAGAGAGCAATGCTGGCCAACAGATCGGCATCACTCCTCAAATCCTACAGCCAAGAAGCAGCCATTGAGCAGCCCATGGCACCGCGCCCCACTGCACTGACCCCAGAGTATCTCTCCTGGACCAGCACCTCCCCATACAGGTAGGTGCAGCCACTGGAGGAGCTGGGGAGGAGGTGGTCATGGGACAGGCTGCATAGGGACTGCCCCATCACCACAGGATTGCAGCCCTGTGCAGCTGCTGAGGACACAGAGTTTTATGGGGCCGAAAGGAGCTCATCTGGCTTTGCTTTGGGAACCCATTTCAGCCCCATCTGAGCATCCCCTGCCCACCGCTGAGCAGGCTTCTCTGCCTCCATGCATTTCAGGGCCGGAGCAGGGGCCCTGGTCCTCGCAAGGGATTCACTTGGCCTCGTGCTGACCCTTCCCACATGTCGGCACAGGAGGTGGTATGGGTCCCTTCTGGTTCCCAGCTCTCCGTGTCCAGCCATCTCATCCAAAAGCTCAAGGCAGGGCCTCCTGGTGCATAGTTTGAAGGGTTCCCACATGCATCCAGCCACATAAAAATGCTGAAGCCTTGACTGCTCTTGTGGGAGATGCCCAAGAGGGAATGGCCAGCCTGGCCTGGGAAGCCAACAGGACAGTGTGGGGCATGGGGACTCCTGCGTGGGCCATGCCTCATTCCTCCCTGCTCCCTTCCTGCAGCACTGTGCCCTCCTACAGCTCCAGCGGGACCGCGACACCCACCCAAGGGGTGAACATGGCCAACAGCATCGCCAGCTTGCGCCTCAAAGCCAAAGAGTTCAGCCTCCATCAGAACCAGGTGCCGACCGTGAACTGACCAGGGCAAAGCCCACCCCGTGGCCTCATCCAGGATACAGCGTGGAGCTCCTGTGCCAGTCCAGGACAGATCCACCACCCACCCAATCCGCATGCCACTCATCCAACGTCTCAGCACCTCTCCTCTTCTCTTTCCTTTTGAAGGTAGAGTCAGTCCCAGGCCAAAGTGGCACATAATTATAGCCACATATGGAGCAAACTTGGTTAGAAACTCGCTTTTTCCGCACACCCTTATAATAAAGGCTATATATACACACACACATACCCCCCACGCGGTCTTCGAGGACAAACAGACTTGCCAAGGGAACAAGAATTTGCTTCCAAACATGGAAGGATCTTGGACTATTGGATTTGACCAATTTGGGTATCTCACCCGGAGAGCCAAAGAGTCATTGGGTCTTCTCCTCCCGCAGGGACAGCGTGCAGCGGTGGGAGGATCGCGAGCCCCCCTTTTCGCTGAGCTGCGACTCGCAGCGCTCAACCACGCGTGCGGAAGCCAACCCGTGCATTCGCCTCTTTGTTCGTTTCCAGCTGCGGTGCTTGGGAGAGACTTGGGGAAGCTGACGGCTCGCCCCTGCCGAGGCAGGTCCAGGCCAGGCCCTTGTACCATGTTGCCTGCATTTAGGAGCTGCCTATGCTGATGGAACAAGGCTTTATCGGTTCCCAGAGGGACGAGAGGGCTGGAGCATCTCAACAGACTCGCTCAGAGCCTGCAAGCTCTCCCACAAGCTGTGGGGAGCAGTGCTGGTCCCCAAGCAAGCACCACTGCCCTGCCTCGGTGGGTTCACCAGCGATTCTGCAGAGCCCCAGGTCATTGAACTGTCCCAGGGAAAG